TGTGGCTTCCTTCGTACTAGATCATCCTATTGCTCACATTGATATCTGGGACGTGACTTCTAACAGGACTGAAGATGTCTGCATTAGGGTTTAGATGCGGGGTCTGGAAGGGGTTTGCCGTTGTCTGGAGCTGATTACGTCGATGGTTAATGTATCCTCCTTGTGTAAAAGACAATAAATCATCCTTTAATGTATTTAATTTGCTTTGAAATTGACTAATGTTTTCCATTTGTACTTTTTGCCACTGTTGTTGACTTTCCTGTAGTTGCTGCTGACTTTCCTGCAACTGTTGGAGACTTTCTTCCAGTTTATTTTTCTCGTTCTTCTTGTTTCTTTTGTTTTTCCTCCAACCACTACTGTAATTTCTCTTCTTGTTTCTTCTCTTTTTCCTCCAATAACTGCTGTAATATCTCTTCTTGTTTATTTTCTCGTTCTTCTTGTTTCTTTTCTTTTTCCTCCAACCACTGCTGTAATTTCTCTTCTTGTTTCTTTTCTTTTTCCTCCAACAACTACTGTAATCTCTCTTCTTGTTTATTTTCTCATTCTTCTTCTTTCTTTTCTTTTTCCTCCAACAACTGTTCTAATCTCTCTTGTTTATTTTGCTGTTCCAGCTGCCACTGTTGCAGGTTTTCTTGCAACTGCTGCTGTCTCTGTTCTTCTTTCGATACTAGTACTATACTAGGCCTTAAAGGCTTAATTTGGTAATCTGCCAGTGTCATCGTTACTTCACGTGTTAAGTGGGTTATGCTTTATATGGTGGTATAAATTTAACTTTCAATTTCTAGTAATTATTTGACGTTAAATTAAGCAGATTTCTGCTACTACACTAGCAGATTTAAACGTTTGTTTTGTATCATTATATACATTATGACAAAACCTCTTGCATTATTATTATATTTATAGTATTATCTACTAGGACTAGCAGTAGTAGTTGGTAAAAATTCACAATGACTGAATGATGAATCAGTGAATGAGAATGAATTATGAATGGTATTTTAAATTCATGTGAACATGTGCTAAAGTGGATTAATATAACCACAATGTAAACTAAGTTAGTTTCAAACCTGTGTGTTATATCATGTTTTTTGTTTGTTTTTTCTGTGTAGTATAACTTGGGCTGTTAAGAAATCTACTCTGAAGTTTGACAAGACTGAGGCTGAAATCTGCCAGTACTGTCTGAATTCGGATGTCTCAAATTCTTTATCTTCTGACCATTAGAGTAGAATCATAAGTCATGTTGATTTGTTAAGAGACAACAGATGTGATGATGTAAACAGTTCAAATGTTTGAAAAAGATAGGAATGCACATGCCTTGAGTGCTTGTCAGGTCACTGTGTTATGCATGCATAGCAAATAAAATATCCAGTTTTAACTGTTGTAAGGTGAAATTTTTATTGAAAAAAGTTTTATTATTAGATAATGATTCAGTGTATGGTATTGAAGAACACAAATATGATAATACATAATGACAGCCTACTAAGATGTTCCTTTCTTTTTCCAAGTAATCTTAAAGAACACTCATGAAAGTTAAGTGCATATTTTTTTAGTCAGTTTGTGATGATCTAAAACAAGTTAAAAGGAACTTACTATTACCAAAACATTGTTAACAGTCTTTCAATCATGTAATTATTGAGTGAATTCATACCATCCTGCTATTATATATATATATATATATATATATATATATATAT